CAAACACTAAATTAAATAGGCTACATAATGTGTCCTTTCACGTATCAAACAAACACTCAAAAAATTATCGATATGTTTGGTGTATCGCATTTCATTCCTATGAATTTTCTTTAAGAATGTCGGGAGAATCTCTTTCGCCGTGTGGCGCTGTGTCAGCCGTTGGATCGTTGTTTAGGGCTTGTTTATCGACATAATTACACCTCTTGTGCTTTCTTGATTTTAGGCATGTGTCAATATGGCTGTCTGTTGCTCGAGTTTTCGAGCAGTTTGACCTGTCCAAAACAAAATTGTGAATTATTTTCGAACAAATCTTTTATCATACGATATTAATTAAGGATTTTTTTTTTTTTTTCCTTTTTTGTGAAATCATTTGGCAAGTTAAGTGAACCTAACACTATCTTTTGTCGGCTACTCGCTTATGAGAATAACGATACTTATGGAGTAATTTTGTGAAAAGTTATGTTGATCCGAAGAAATCATCGATGGAATATTAATTAATGTTATTTATGTTTAGGGTTTACTTTCGAATTTCAGTATGATTTTCAAAACATTACGAAAATTTGACATTAATTCAAAGGGAATTCTCTCAAAATATTTGTAACATTGATTGAATTTGAATTATTACTAATTTACTAATAATCTCTTTCTCTTTTACTTCAATTCTGAAAACTTTTGTAGATGTAAATAATCCCTCTAGAAATTTGATAAGAGTTAAATTACATGGATTTAATCCTAATTGATTTGATCAATATATTAATTAGTTAGAGTATAGTATGGCTTTCGATAATATTCGTCTAGGAGTATTATAATCGATAATGTAATTAAACATTTTTAATGTAAGAAAAATGCCTAAGGAAGAATTGTGGGTTGTGTTTGTTTGAGGGTTTTGTTTCATATTTTTATTTTTCATAGAAATATATATTTTAAAAATTAAATCAAATATATATTTTTTATATTTTCTATATTCAAAATATTAGATCAGTTATCTATTTATATCATATCAAAAAAAATATTCTAATTTAAAATTTTACAATTCAGAACCCAAAACTCAAACCCAAATAACTTTATTAAATTTATGTCCCGACTCAATTAAAATTGTCGTATAGATTTCCCATTTATATACGTGTTTGTGTGGGAAAAAATTGTTCGGTGTGTACGTACTCTTTCTTGTTTTACTGAACCTTGTGTAGATTTGGTGTTTGGATTGAATGCTTATTTAGGGAAATTCCTAAGATTTCATATTTCTTAATGGATTTATTGTATTTGGAGAAAAGAATAAAATGATTTCTTTGTGTTGCCTATGTTGATTGTCAATTTTAGTTTGCTACTATTAATTTCCCAAACAAACAAATTTGCATGCTCAAAATAAACGCCCTGAAATGTTTAAGTGAAGTTGGGAAAAATTGGTGACAATAAAATGTCACTAAGATTCTCTATGTTTTCAATAATTGGTGATAATTAATTTAATCTACTTTTCCTAATTAAACACACACACATGTATATATATCCATCATTCATGCATACTACATATGAACAAAATTATGCAATTCAAGATATATATTTTAATTTTTTAGTGGTAAACTTGTTATGATAAATCGTAACCAAGAAATAAAGGGCATGAAACATAAGATAGGATTTAATTATAAAGTTCGATTTTTCTATGTTTGGGCACTACGAAGCCAACTTTTTATTTTTTTAAATGAGAATGAAAAAAAAAAGTTGGTTAAGTATGTAAGTGAGATTAAAAAGTGTTAAATAAAACATTACACTATTACTTGTTTTGGCATATGATCAAAACTCTCCTCTTTGCTGTTGTCGTTGTCAGGAACCAAATGCAACAATGTCGACCCATCAGGTTGCTGCAACAATATGTGAGCAACCATGTTCTTGCCTTATTTCTTCTCGGTTTGGTGGATGCATAAGACAAAGAGGATAAATTGGAGTTGTCAACTTATCATTAGAATTTTGCAGAAACACTTCATGTCATTTGTGGATTTGAGATTTTGGGTTTGAATTTTTGAATAGTAAAAAGTTGAATTTGAATAGTTGTTTGATGTTATATAAATAGGTGTTGATATGATGTTTTGGATGTAAAATAAATTTATAGTATAATATAAAAAAAGAAAAGTAATTGTTTGATTTGATATTTTTGGAGGAAAAAAAATAATCTGAATAATAAAAACTCGTGATAAAATCTACAAAAGAACACAACCTTAATGACTTTGTTGTGTTTTGGTTGTAAGTAAGGTATAAGAGATTTGTTTAGAGCGAGAAAGTGTGATTCGATGCTCTCAACCTTGCCCTTTCTATTCTCCATGTACTGAATGAGTATTTAGCACTGCAACTTGTCAAAGAGTTCATCAGAGATTGAAGTTATTTTTTCCTATTCTAAAATTTTGGAGTTTGTTTGAGCAATGTAAATGCATATATAAAGGGTATTGTAAAAGTAGAAATGTTGCTAGGCACATAAAATTGCATTAAGGTTAGCTATGTTGTAAGGAGATTCGATAATATGTAAAAATACAAATTGAATACAATATGAATAATTAATTAAAGTAGTTCTTAATGTATTGTGAAACTCAAGTTGAAGTTAGAGAGGTACTGTACATCCAGTCCTTTTTGGGCCGTCTGTACAATTCATTGGGCTGCGTGTTAGGATTTTGACCTACACTTGTATATATATAATTGATATATTCTCTTTTTAATTTACACATAAAATTACTTGTGAAATTACCTCGTTGGTCGTTCCAAACATAGATCATCTTAATCGAATTCAGTTAACAAATTTTTCTATTCTTGTTTACTAATCTTGATTTTCTAATCTCCGCAAAAATTCTCGATATTTCTATAAGTGATTCGAAAAATTGCTTCCATTTTGCCCTCTAATCCACAAAATCGACAAGAAACTTTAAATTTTTATTTCTAAATCCCTCGTGATTTATTGGTGATCTCTTGGAGAAGAACCATGATATGTGTCAAACTTTCCTCCAAACCCTTGTTGGACATTAAAGGAATGAAATGATCAAACACATTTAATGTAGTATATAATGTCAAAACATGTGAACCTTATCCGATACAAGCAAGTTAGTACTTCCTATATATTATTCAAATTGTAAAACAAATTATGAACTATATAACAAACTTGATTTAATTCTACTAGTTGATGAAACTCACTAAAATTTAATTTGTTTACTTGAATGTATTTGGTTTAGACTTAATTTCAAGCCAGTGATGCTCAATGATTTATTATTTACTAATGTTTAATAACATTTTAAAAGAAAAAGTATAATTATATTTTTCTCTCTATTTGAATTTTTATATATTTATTTCATAAATTATTTGGAACTATACGAGTTTGTTTGGATATGATTTGAGAATTATTTGAAATAAAATGTTTTTTGAGTTTTTATTTAAATAGTTTTTTAATATTCTATTTTTTGAAAAAATAATATGTTTTTGTTAAAAATCTTATATAGTAAATAATATTAATTTCAGTTTGAAATTATAAAAAATATAAAACCTTCAATTGTTAGAAACTTTATTAGTTAAAAATAATTATAATATTATTTAAAGTGACTATTGAAAAAAAAAAAAAAATGTTCAATGCCAAACAAAAATATATCAAACTCATTTCTCTTAATAAATAAGCACGAGCAAATCTCAACTTGTAAAAGGGTAGAATTCAACTACAAAAAAACTTAGCTAAATTTGATTCAATAACTTCTATCGACATTGGAATGCTTGTTCGAATAATTAAAAGAATAATGTGAAACTCTAAATTTGACGCACCGTTTAATATAAGTTCTTACGGTTTTGAAACTTAAAAAAAAAAAAAAAAAAAAAAAATTGAGAGTATTTAATGTAATATCTTATAAGATAAATTATATATTTGATGTGATATATATTTTTAAGATAATCGTAAATAAATAGATTCGAAACCTACAAAAAGTAGGTATATAAATGAAGTTTTAATCATCGATTTTCAATCGATTACAAGTGCAACAATACAAAAAAGTTGATACGAACCTCAACCTCCCGACCAAACAACATTTTCGACATATATATTTCAAGATTTTATTAATATTTGACTTCGACAAAAGTAAGATTAAATAAGCATATGGTGATGGCATTTTTTTCTTTGACTTTGCTTCCATGAAATATTGATTGATTAATTAAATCATGAATCAAGATTATGAATTAGTTGAGTTTGTTGATATATATATATATATATATTTAATATTTAATATTAATTAATACTCCCTTTTTGACCATAACTAAACTAATCACTTCGAAAGTAAAAAAAAGTTTCTAATTAATTAATTAAATCTTATCTGAATCTTGTTGAACAGAGATGAGTTGGATTATTCATACAGGTGTATCAGATTGTCAACCATTAACTCATCCAACGGCTGTCATTGCTTCAAAATCTGTTTGACTAATTAGGCACACACGATCATAAGCACTATTGGATTAAGTAAACCTTATAATAAAATTAAAAACAACATTCTTAATTACCTCCTTTTGGTTTAAGTGAAAAGTTGACCCCTTTTAAAATATAATAATAATAATAATAATAATTTAAAATAATAAAAAGTCAATCCAAAGAATTGTATAGCATCACCTTTACACTCAAGTAATATTGTTGACACCAACTTGAATTTTTCGAGATTGAAGATTATGTAGACAGGACAAAGTTAGAGTAAAAAAAATCGGATTTTCAATATCGTTAGAGTTGAAAATAGAACTGTTAGAAGAAAGTTAATCAACACTTGTTCATATATATTTAGGCATTTAGAGATCTTAAATTAGGTGATTGGGTATGATTCATCATATATTTTAATTTTGTGTTCTAATCTTGATTAGGGATGATCAATTTCCACAATAATAATCATCGAATTATCGAAACATAATCCCATCGAAGAACAAAGAACCCCGTTTCGACAAAATTTAATCACTCCATTTCTTACAAAAAGAAGATTAATTACATCATCAATCCCACAAAAAAAAAAAAAAAAAACCATGTAGATCATAAGATATACCTTAATTAATTTGCTGTAATAACTCATGTTGTGTGTATCTGTGTGTCTATATACATACAAACATACACTTGTATGTATATACATATACATACATGCATATATATATATATATATCTATAACAAACTACAACCAAAATAAAACAAACAATAACGATCGAATCAAGACAACTAATCGATCGATTTTTCCTCCTCGGCATCGGCTAATTAACTAATAGGACACTTGAATTGGCAGCAGACCTTGTATACTTCTTGTCGATATTCTTGCCGGAGTGTCGCCGGAGGAGCTGCTTCATGCCGTCGGCGACCTGTACGGCGGGGCTGAGGAGCTTGTGCTGGCGGCAGAAGGACATGTGGGAGAGGAGAGCTTCGTGGAGTCCGAGGTGCAGATGATTATGGTTATTACCATTGTTGTTGTTGTTGTTGTTGTTCTTGATGAGCTCATCCCTGACGGCTTCTGAGCAGAGGCCACAGAGCCATTTGCCATGGAAGCTGTTCTTGACCTTGGCGATGTAGTCGTGAGTGCAGTCTTCTTTCAATCCGCAGCACTCGCAGTTGGCGAGTTCGATCGTTTCTGCCATATCCATTAATTTCTTAGCTAATTAGGGTTTTGTTTTGTTTGGATTTGATGATTGAAGATTTGTATAGTTGTGATGGAGAATTGAATAGAACTGAATTGGATTGGGGGGATTTATATATAGGTAGGGGGCGTTGTATTGAGGGGTGGGGTGGGGTTGGGGTATGGGGATTTTTGTGGGTGTGGATTTGTGTTGGTGACGGATGAGGGTTGGGACAAGAAGACAAGGGTAGGGTTGTGGGGGGGCCAGCATGATCATGGCTTATTTTCTCTCTCTCTCTCTCTCTCTCTCTCTCTCTCTCTATGTATATATATATGTATGTATTGTTTCTCACTCTAGTAAAGGGAAAGGGGGTTATGAATTGGATTTTGTAGTAATCTTAATTTGTCATCTTCTTTGCCCTCTTTATTTTGGCTGTCTGTTTGGGGCAGATTTTCTAATTGTTGTTTGGCACTTGGCATATTACAATTGCCTCTCTCTCTCTCTTTCTCTCTCTCTCTCTATCTCTATAAAAATATATATATATATATATATAATAACAAACTATGGATGTGACTCACCAGTCCAAAACCAGTCGACTCGATGCATCTTAGTCTTGTCTATCACATTTAATTTATTTTGATGATATATTTTACATACTATTTTGCTAATGGAGTTTACCTAGTGCATACAATATTTTGAATGGAGAAATTGTTATCTTTTAAGAATTTAAATTTAAATTTTTTTGTTTTTGTTTTATTATGCAATTATCAACTATTTTAATATATATATTCTTTAATTTCATCCGTCTTTTAACTTAAATTAAAATATCTTTCTATCATTTTCATTTGTCCTACTTCAAGGTATCACTTTTCTATTTTAGAAAAAATAATTACACACTAGTACCAAAATACCGTTAATATTTATTTAAATTACAAACATATACCCCCGTCCGCCTCCAAAGTTCACGTTACCTTTTGCGTCATTGTATTAACATTAAAAATATCCTTATATTTATATATATATTTTTTTTGTACAAATATCCTTCTATTAATATTATAAGACACTAATAGAAGTATTTTTGTTTTTGTTTTTTTTAATTTGTACTACATTTTGATATAATATTTAATATTAAGATCAACACGTAAAAAATAAAAAATAAAACTTTTAGAACCGGGACAAATTAGTATAAAAAAAATCATACACAAACCAAACTCACTATGATTGACATGAAAAAAAAAAAAAAAAAAAAAAGGATTTTCATCCTATAGCTAATTAAGACAAAAATATTAAAATAATTTTATGCAATAAATAAAATATAAGATACTTTATATATTTATAATAACAGATATGTAATTGTTAGAAAATTTACCCAAAACTTTATAATGCGTTGAAAAGGCCGTTAAATGCAAATCATCTGAAACCAACATGGACGTAATTAACATTTCTTCCGTCTCCTATAATTTGTTCATATATTTTATTTTGTTTGTTTTCCATTATTATTTTTTAATAATTATATATTTTAATCATATTTTAAATTTCATAATATTTATTTTTAATTTTAATTAAATTAATTAGTTATTTAATTTTAATATATAATTAGTTATACTATACAATAATTATTTTTACTAATATAATTTTTAATTATTACTAATTATATTTTTATCTAAATTTTTGTATCTACCGAAATTGGACAGTTAAAATGGGATAGAGAGAATAATATATATATATATATATAACTTATAACATGAAAATGGGATAGAGAGAATAATATATATATATATATATATATAACTTACAACGTGTGCATGCATGCATGCATGGACCATTCTAACAAAGTAATGTTGACAATAGTATATATATATATATATATATATTTGTGTAGTAATTAATCTCGCAGTGATCGAAGAAGTCAAAATTTATATATTTTCAATTTAAATAATCATGGGGCGTTGATGTAGGGATATATTTATATATTTTATTGTACGATTTGATTCAATCAGTATATTTGATAAAATAAATAAGTATATATATATATATATATATGCATTACCTGATAATATGCATGTTGTGACAATATATGATATAATTCTACATAGTCAATATATTATTCATTATAATACAAATCAATACGCTTTAGAGAGAATAATATTAAATTATTTAGAATATTGCTTTAAATTAATCAATATTGTACTGATATTTTTTAAATTAGTAGAGGGGGTCTATATTTTAAAATATTATTCACTATCATTATTAAATTTTAAGTTTTAGTCTATATATATATTTTTTTCTTTGTAATTATCCTATTTAAATTTTAAATTAAATTTTAAACTAATCATATATATATATATATATATTTTTCCATCTCTTTTTTCCTAACCACTTCTCACCCCATCTTTTCAAATTTAAATTTAATCGTCGTCTACACTTCTTTATCTCACACCCTGTCGCATTGCGCCTACCAACTCAGACCAAATTTGCCACACATTCTCTCATCTTTCACACTCCTTCAGTTCTTTTTGCTTTTCGAATTTCCAAACATACCGTCTTTCGTCTTTTTTTTTTTTTTCAAATTAAATTAACTTTGTTGTGACGGTCACGTTCAACTTCTTGTCCAATCGATATCAATCAGTGATATTATTTTAAAAGTACATTTTAATCATATGTTTATAGAGTTTATAATTTATTTTCACTCAAAACCCAAAAAAAATCCGAGACGGCCCTATATATATTTAGATAATATTCGGTGGGAGACATGTTAAACTGCCACCTCATTAATTGTAATTTGTAATATAGCTTAACTACTACCTCCATTATAACACATTTTAAATAGAATATTCATCTCATTTTTTTCTCCAAAAAATATTAAATCAAATTTTATTTTTTATTTTTTATATTATATTAAAAATTAATTTTACATTCAAAATATCACATCAATGTCTATTTATATCACATTATACAACTATTCAAATCCCAACTCAAAATCCAAACCCCAAACAAACACACCCTAAGAAATACTCCCTCCGTCCCATATACCGTGTCTGCTACACTGTAGACACGGTATTTTAGGAGGAGTGTAATTAATAGATAATTAAGAATGTATTGGTGAAAATAATTATCCTATAATATAAATAATTATAAATTAAGATTAAAATAACTAATTAATTTAATTAACATTAAAAAAATAAATTAAAAAATTTAAAATGAGATTAAAGTTTGTAATCATTTTTCAAAAAAGGAAAGTGACATAGAATATGGGACGGACAGAAACGGCAACGTTGACATGATATATGGGACGGAGGGAGTATTATAGTGTATATATATATATATATATATATAATGTTATTGTTATTGATTACAGCCTTTCACGTGGAAAAGATTTGCTCCAATTATGCCATAAAATCATCTAATATTTCTCTCTTTATTTTTATTTGAAATTTTCCTTTCTACTGACTCTGGAAATTTGAGTTCAAAATCATTTTTTTTTTTTTAAATTATGGTGAAAAAAATAGAGCTATATACAAAATAGGGTTTTTTTTTTTTTTTGGGTTCAAATTTCCAAAATTTTAAATTATATTTATCCAAAAACCAGACTCTTTATGTTTTCGAGTCGATTTTCGCACTACTATATTTGAAATTTAATTTTTATCTAAAATATTATTAAAAAAATTATTTTCTATTCAAAGTATTACATTTTAGTTTAAGTCATTATTTATACGACATCAAATACTTATTATTTTCTATTCAATTTTTTATTATTTAAAAAAAAATAAATCCAAATCTCCAAAATATATGTAAACTATTTAACTTGGTGAACAGTGACAATGATTTGTTTGGTTGTATATTTTTCAATCTTCTCACGGTTTTCATAATTCATCTCATATATATATATATATATATATATTTTCACAAAATATTAAATTGCATATTTATTTACATTTTAATATATTACATATAAACAAAAAATTACTCGAAACACCATATTAAATACTTGTTTATATCTTATTGAATAATTATTTGTAATTAATTTTTTTTTTTACAATTCTAAAAATATCATTAAAATACATCAAACAAAAAATTCTAACAAACATTAAAAAATAAATATTTTGCATTACCCGTTGACTTTTGTAAATGAATAAAAATAAATAATATATTGTATTTTTTTTATAATATTAATTAAAAAATACGTCAAGAAATTTTGTTCGATAAAAACACCCAATAAGAAAAAATATATATATATATATATATATTTTGGCAAAATTGTAAAATGTAAAGTGCAACCAATAACATGATATTGTCTTATTGTTCAAAGGCAAAAATAGACAACTCAATTTCTATACGCCTACAAATTTTAATTTAACTTATCATCAGCTTCTTTTCTTTTGCCTAAGGATCATATGAAAATGATGCATGCCCAATGAAATCTAACCTTGTCTGGAGGTAGTTTTTAATTCGACTTTATTATTCATAATTTTTCATTTTTTATTTTTCAAAATATCAAATTTGATATTTATTTTTTAAAATTAAATTAAAAATTAAATTAATTCAAAACATACCATTAATATTTGCTATAATTCAAAATTCAACTCTCAAATCTACAACTAAATTGGTAGCCTAGGTAAATATATATATATATATATATAAAAGGTGTTTTTTTTTTTGTATTTTTTGAATTTTGTGTTCGAATTTAAGTTTAAATAATATTTTTGATACGATATTTTATGAGATGAAATAATTCATTTTTGTTGAAAATTATATGAGTTGAATAGTAAAAACAATAATAAGTGAAACTATTTTATTGTTTTCAGACAAAACTGCACATATTGATTTCACGAAATTACATCAAATTTCTCGTGCTTCTAAAACTGCGTCAGACTCTTTTGTGATTTCAAAAAAGTGTGATACAATTTTAAAAGGATGAAAAATTCGACGCAATTTCAAATAATTCATTGTGAATTTTGTGCAGTTTTATCTTGTTCTAAATATTGTATGCTAAATGGTTGAATTTACACCATTACATTCGACATAATTTAGTTCACTAAAAAAATTAATTGATCGTTATAATTTTGATCATATTTGTCCGCTAAAATATTCATATGCCAAT